GATGGGGTGGTTAATGCTGTTGTTTCAGTTAATACTGTTGTTTCAGATGGAGTACTTAATACTGTTGTTTCAGATGGGGTGGTTAATGTTGAAGCGGCTGTTGAAAAGACTGAAGCTAAAGAAAGAAATGAAAATACGCACTTCCGTTAATAATTGTTTAAAGAAGGCAGTCTACTTTTGACAAATATAAAATCAAACTACATGATGATAGTATATATATGAATGTTAACGTTGAATATTTTCAACATGAATGCTCAAGCACCTGAGATTTAAAAAACCCTTATATATCGGTTTTTGTGCTTATTTGAATGTAAAATATTTGACATCCAGGCTTTAGCTAGAGAATATTTAACATTAACATTCAAATAACTTCAGTGAAGGAAGATAGTCTTCTTATCTCTGCCTTAATTTTCCCCCTTCAAAATCGGATTCTAAACAGGAAAGCTTTGTAAGTGCAGCTAGGAAGTTTAGAAATGGACTTAATGATCACGCACTCTCCTATTATATAGTATATTATTAAAAGGTTCTCAAAATGACCCACAACAAATATTGGAAAACTTATTAGTGCATTAAATCTAGGGATTCCAAACTCTTGATTTGCAAATGATTTTTTAAAACCTATAATAAATATTCTGTGAATATGAATAGGCTGACCAATGAATATCCTTCTTTTGCAATATTAAATAAGTTGCTATTATCTGATCCTTCATGATTAAAATGAGACTGGCTATAAACAAGACTGGTGATTGTCGCAGATGAAAAGGTGAAACCCTTGCTTTGCAAGGCCAGTAGTTATGGGGATACAAATCTGTGAGTGCATTCAAGAATATGGCCTTTTACAGTCCCATCAGTTTTATACCTTGTACAGAAATATATAGCGATGTTCTCTCCACTACACTTGTAACTTCATTGGTGACTTCACAGGTATAGGTTCCAGAGTCAGAGGGCTGAGGATTTGGGATAGAGAGGTTGTACTTTTCTGCAAAATTCTGGGCCAGTCCATCAGGAAGCTGCTTCTTCCAGACAAAACTAGCCTGAGGATGACTTTCAGTCAAGCAGGTAAGTATCAGTGCTTCTCCTTCTAGTACAGTGTTGCTTGGAAATGCCACAATTTTAGTATTCCGTGGGCCATCTTAAAGAAAGCAAAGGATAGCCAAGTTAAATTAGTAAACTGTAAGTTGAAGGTCACAATGAGTGCCCCAAATGGGGAAGGATTTGAGAATCATCATGGTGAATATCAAAAAATGTTTATTCACGGATGGATATTTTTCCTCTATTAAAAATGTTTAAAGTACAAATATTAATCAGATGGCGAAGGTACTTTAAATGAAAATGAAAGCATAAGCCAGAACTTGACTTGTCTTGCCACAATTGTCTTAAGATTCCTTCTTAACATCCTCCTAAAACTAGCCGAGCCTATTGCAAGGGGAGGCAATCTTAACATGAATACAACCTATGTTTGAATCTTCATTCCATCAACATACTTACAGTTTATTTCCATCACATGCGTAGCCTGCCTGGGCGCCAGAACCATGTCCTCTAAAGACAGCTCAGCTACACATATAATCTCTTTCCCAAAATCTTCCTCGGTAGGAATGAAATCCACCTTCAGGTTCTTGGTCTGCAATGATTTTGTATGAGGGTCTTGAAAAAACTCTTTTTCAGCAGTTACTTTTCCTTTGATCAAAGTGATCATCAACTGCTCAGAAGGATAGACCTCGGGGACACGACAGGTGACAGAAGCAGGTTGCCCAAGAATGAGAGGGCTTTTGAGCTCAATAACCGGATCACTGGGGAAAGCTAAAAGGAGAAACGAAGAAACCATATCAGGAGAAGTTTGCTTTAAGCAGCTAAAACTGTCAACTCTCTGTTCACAACTACTTAGTCCTCATGTTTTGGATACAAACTGCTTCCCAGATGATGGCATTTGAACCAATATCATGGCATTGCTGTTTTTTTTTGGTGTGTAAACTCTGAATGAACCAGCATTTTATACCAGGGGTCTCCAACCTTGGCCACTTTAAGGCTTGTGGACTTCAACTCCCAGAATTCCCCAGCCAGCGCATGCAGGTTGGAGACCCCTGTTCTATACAACCTCTCAACATATGAAAACCTCCAAAAGACCCATAAACAGGGAGGAGAAAAGGGGAGCCTGCCTCCGGTTCCATGATGCTGCCACCCCCATTTCAGTAAAATTATTTTAATTTAAGTGCATTGGCAAAATGAGCTAATCTGTTAGAAGGCGGTATTGCAGGCTATTTCTGCTGACTGTCAGCAGTTCTATCCTGACTGTCTCAAGGTTGATTCTACCTTCCGTCCTTCTGAGGTTGGTAAAATGAGGACCCAGATTGTTGGGGGCAATGTGCTGACTCTGTAAAACCGCTTAGAAAGGGCTGTAAAGCACAGTGAAGCGGTATATAAGTCTAAGGGCTATTGCTAGTATGTTAAGGGTAAATACACTGCATTGTTTTCCAGTTTAGGAGCATTCAGATTTTATAGATGTTTATAGAAAGGCATACACCCAAGCCTTTGTCATGCAGACTCCAATTAACCTGTCTTCTTTTTGGGGGGGTGTCCTCCACAACATTTTTCATTGTCTATGGACCTGACCTGCAGGATTCTTAGGAAGTAATGACCTGAAAAACAGCTTCAAAATTTCAATTACAGCAGGCCCGAATACAATGGGCACAAACACTCCCAAATTCTGCAATTGTTTCCATCTGTCCCATAAGTTGTTATACTGTTGATCTGCTGAAGGTTCATCTGAGCAGTGTCATCTGATGGAATACAATTGATCTATCCCAGCAATGCTTTCTGGAATGGTGCACATGCGTGCGCGCGCACACACACACACATGCACACACATACCAAGATATGGATTGCCACTGCCTTGACTTTCCTCACTGTTCATAAGTTCTTGAAAACATACTTTTTTTTGTGTCGTCTGGACCAGTGTTGTAATGGTTGAAATTATTATCATGGCTGGCTTTGGTTATATCACATCTTTATGGATTCAGACTGACAGTGCACTTCAGTTCTGTTAAATATTATTTTATTTATTATTTATTTGTACCCCACCTTTATTATTTTTACAAATAACTGAAGGCAGAGAACATATCAAACACATCTTCCTCCTCCTATTTTCCCTACAACAATAACCCTACAAGGTGAATTGCACTGAGAGAGAGAGTGACTAGCCCAAGGGCACCCAGCTGGCCTTCATACCTAAGAAAAGGACTAGAACTCACCATCTCCTGGTGATCGGGCCAAGGTCACCCTGCTGGTTTTGATGGCTAAAACAGGATTAAAACTCATCGTCTCTCGCTTTATAGCTTGGTGCCTTAACCATTAGACCAATCTGGCTCTTCTATTACTCTTAATATATATATATTAATTATATATATATATAAATTTTATAGATAGATAGATAGATAGATAGATAGATAGATAGATAGATAGATA